GTCACTCTTGTTTAAAAAATGAACTGATCACATTTCACTAGATTTTAAAAAATCGGTTCTTGTTTTGAAATTACCAATATGAACATGAGCACGATAACCGTGATCACAGATACGATACAGATAACAACCGTTAAGCAATCATTCTCTACAATATGACTCATTACTAAGAAACGGAAACATACAACACGAATGAAATATGATAGAAATGCGGCTCTAACTTTGGAAGTACCTTCAGTACAGTTTTTAATTTTTTGAAATGTCATGCTGACAGTTTTCTTTCTTGACTACAATAAGGATGAATAAAATATAACTCGAAATCGAACTTATCGAGTATATATAATATTAAACTTCGACGCCAGAGAAAATCCAGTTGATTGTCAGCCCAAATATACTCTTCAAAATACAGAAACTATACATGCTGTTTTGGAGTTTACTTACTGAATGCATATAATTGATTCAAACAATGACAATTACAGTATATCATCACTTTACAAAATTCCAAAACATGATTATCCAGAAAGTGTTTGGTCAAACCACAGAGAGCTATTACATCCACTTGGTCAGAGTTAAATGTCAGTATCTGGTGTGACCAACATGAGCATCGGTAACAGCTTGGCAGCGGTGACCCACAGAAGAAAGGAGATGTTGAATGCTGTCTTGGGAAATGTTTTGATACTCTTGCTGAAGTGTTGTGTGCAGATTTTGTAGTGTCTGAGGTGGCGGATTACGCTGGGGCAAGCGTCGATCAAGAGTATCCCATAGAGTGAGTGAGTTTAGTTTTACGCCGCACTCAGCAATATTCCAGCTATATGACGGCGGTCTGTAAATAATTGAATCTAGACCAGACAATCCAGTGATCAACAGCATGAGCATCGATCTAAGCAATTGGGATACGATGATATGTGTCAACCAAGCCAGCGAGCCTGACCACCCGATCCTGGTAGTCGCCTCTTACGACAAGCATAGGCTACTGAAAGCTCATTCTAACCCGGACGTTCACGGGTAGTATCCCATAGATGTTCAATGGGGGACAAATTGGGGGATCGAGAAGACCAAGGTAACACCTGAACATTGTTTTGCTGGAGGAAGTCCTGTCAAACACGTGCAAAGTGAGGTCTAGCATTGTCATGCTCCAAAGATCAACCGTTGACGTTGATGAAGGGAAGGTCTTGACGCTGAACTGGTCTTCTGGCAAAAGTCTGGCTTTCAATAGCCAATTGTGCACTGTCTGGGCGGAGATTCGGATTGTTGTGGATGATGCGGCCGTGGTGTTTGAACGAACATGTCTCAAACGGATGTAGCGATCCTGGGCGGCGGTGGTAACTCTAGGTCGACCTGACCTGGGTCTGTCATTAATACTCCCAGAATTGTTGTATCGGGTCCATAGGATTGAGACGGTCTGTCTGGACGCGCTGAAGTGCCTTGCCACCTCATTCCGCGATGCCCGTCCTTGTAAACGGCCGATGGCGTTGTGTCGTTGCGCTTCTGTCAGTCTTTTCATTCTCTTGTCGTCGATAGTGGCTAAAAGCAATGCATGTGGCGTACAATCGGTGTGGCTTTTTAAAGCCTACAGTCATAGGCTTCAGTTCAGGGTCATACACAATTTCATGATGCACGTGCATTTCATGTAGGGTGCGTTTTAGTGATGTGTACAGACGTGAGTGTAACGTTACGTTTTTGTTCAACGTTTCCTTTTTCAAACGTTTTGTCGTCGGCAACTTCTCCCCCACTTGTTGGGAATCAGCATGGATTGGTTTGTGTCAAATATTTTCCAAAACTTCAAATTTTTCCTATGTATAGTTTCTTTTTCTGAAGAGTATATATTCCATTGTGCGTAGAAGGCTAAATGGTTGAGGAAGATACGAGTGGATCACTGAAAATCAGTAACGACACCAGGTGGTTCTCAATCGTAGGATCGTCTGGAATAAAGCACACCTCGTATATGCGGCTTCATGTATTCCGTGCATGCATACTGCATGCGAAGTCACCCACCCAGTGCATGCCAGAACACGACTTAAATTCTACAACCCTGTTTGTGCTGCATGTCACATTGTAGATATGTTTTGTCAGTTGTAACATTACAGTTTGTCAGTTTACCTGTGTGGCAGCTCATACGACGAGAGAATATCTTCAAACAGTCCTGCTCCAACTGATGTGCTACTTTGCAGTCATGCCGTGGGTTCGAACTGGTGTTCAGCAACCCATGCTTTTCGTAAGAGGTCACTAATGGGATCGGGTGGTCAGGCTCGCTGACTTGGTTGACACACGTCAGCGTATCCCAATAGCGTAGATCGATGCTCATGCCGTAGATCACTGGATTGTCTGGCTCAGACTCGATTATTTACAGACCACCGCCATATAGCTGGAATATTGCTGAGTTCGGCGTTAAAGAACAAACCAACCAGCCATGTGTATCCTCGAATACCGATGTCAGCGATATCAATTTACACCAGTGATTTTAAAAGAAAAACATCTGAAATCTTTGCAAATACACTGGCCTGAAGCCAGGTCGAACTTCCTTGTGTGCTGGGGCGGTGGGGTTGCCTAATGGTGAAAGCGTTCGCTCGTCGCGCCGAACACCCGGGTCCGATTCCCCACATGGGTACAATGTGTGAAGCCCATTTCTTGTGTCCTCCGCCGTGATATTGCTGGAATATTGCTAAAAGCCGCGTAAAATTATACTCACTCCTTGCCTGGAGGTAAATATATATGCGTTCTTGAAAGTAGGAATGAGTGATTGAGTTAGTTGGGTTTAACTCAGCTTTGAATCGTTTTCTAGTCATATCCCGGCGTGTCTGGTCAATGTGTGCCAAAATTCCGAAGTGATGCAAGTTTTAGACGTTGTTGAAACCCACGAGGACGCGACCGATGCCCCAGAAACAGAATCGACGAAAAGGGATTCGAACCCACGAACATTGGTTTCTGGCATGCGGAAGGAATAATGACTTAACTGACTGACTGAGTTTGGTTTTACGCCGCTTTTAGCAATAGTCCAGCAACACCACGGCGGGGGACACGTGGGGATTCGAACCCGGGTCTTCGGCGTGAGGAGCCAACGCTTTAACCACTAGGCTACCCCACCGCCCTAATGACTAAACAGGGTTGTAGGTATGCGCCGGCCGTATGACAACTTTGTTGTTTGTTTGTTGTTTAACACCAATAAGCAATAATCCCGAAATGTTAACGACTGAATAGAATCTGAGGCAGTATACCAGATGACTGATAATATGAACAACGATCTTCACCAAAGATTGTATGTATGTGTATATGTGTATATATGTGTGTGTGTGTATGTGTGTGTGTATGTATGTATGTGTGTGTGCGTATGTATGCATGTATGTGTCTCTGTATGTGTGTCTGTCTGTCTGTCTGTCTATCTATCTATCTATCGGTGTCTGTCTCTGTGTGTCTGCCTGTCTGTGTGATTATATGGTTGTCTGATTCTCTCTCTTTAAACTACACAGTACATTAAATTACTTATGATTTGAAAAAAACCTTATACGTACACACGACGTAACTCATATACCTGTTTCAACACAGACGGTAACGTGATCGCCGTTAAAAAGAAATGCATCATCAGTATGCATGATTAGTCTTTTCTATAAATAAATATTACTACCACTATGAAATATAATCACGACGCTTGTGAAAATTATACTTCCTCTTTTCAGCCCTTTTACTTCTTCTTTGAAGTTTAATATCTGGTTAATTAACTGGTCTTATTGCCACACTTTTACGTGGACTCCTGGCCATTGTAAGTCTCAGACGACTATAGCTAGTCCATTTTTATCCCCTCAATGTTGAATTCTAGGGTTTGTTTGGTGTTTACCGCTGCACTCTGCACGCTGAAGTATTCCAGCTATTTGACGACGGTCTGGACCTGATAATCTAGTGGCCAATGGCATGAGCATCGATCTACACAGTTGGGAACCGATGACATGTGTCAACCAAGTCAGCGAGCCTGACCACCCGGACCCGTTATTCGCCTGGGACGACAAGCATGGGTTGCTTAAGACCAATTCTAAACCGGATCTTCAGGGGGTTCCGAATTCTATGGATGGTAAGAAGTAGTACATTTTAAAGTCCTTTGGTGCGACAAGGCTAGCGAATGATAGAGTCAGTGAGTATGGTCTTACGGTGCAATACTCCAGCAACATTACGGCGGAGGACTTTACACATTGCACCCATGTGGGGAATCGAACCCGAGTCTTTAACCACTAGGCTACCACTGTGGAAAGAAATCATCGACCTTCTGTTCTCTATGCGCTAAGTCGAGAATGAGGTCTCTTCAACGATACATATCGGCGTGCCATGGTGCCTTTTGAAATAAGGAGAACAATATCATGTTTATTCCCTTACATTGGAATATGTTCTCATGTTCAATGACGTATATTGAGAAACATGTAAAAATAACACAGTGAACTGAATATAATTCCAAAACTGATGTTGCAAGACATATATTTGCCCAGAAAGCCTGGGAATGTCAGTTCTGACAAAAACAAAAGTCTTGAAATACTGCTTGGATATGTCAAATGTACATTTGATATGAAACACCACTGGTCCAACCTGTTTTCATTCGGAACAGTATTTAGAGTGATAAAACTTAGATTGTTTGCATTAAAAGAGACTTCTTGTTGTCCAACATGACCGCGAGAGGTACAACCTGTTATACTGGAAATGTAATTGCAATGCGAACCGCCCTCTTGTAATACCAGTTTACAATGTCAATAATAATAAGGTCTCCACGCGTGAACTACACGCCGCTAGGGCATGCTCTAAGCGCATACAACATGATAACCCCGGATAGCCCAACCTGCCTGTGAGGTGCTAGAAGGGAAATAGTCATATGTCCTATTCCACCGGGTACCCATTTTCTGCTGGGTGAACAGAGACAATTTTGAACAAACTCACATGCTTAGGGTGAGACCACATGTAGCCTTGGTTCCTCAAAATAATTACGTGTATGTCAATCACTTTTGAAACTATAAGAGTACAAGAGATTTGGCTGTATATGGTTTATTAAATTTCTTCAAAAAGGAAAACAAAACATTTTAATTAGAACTAACATATAGTATACATAAATATATTGATGACAATAGGTGATCATCTAAGGCATTCTTGTGGTGCAATGGTATGTCATTACCTGAATACCGTTGTCACAGCAACAATTCCATACAGGTATGTGTGACAAATTGCTGATATGACTCATAATCCCACTTGATGGTGTAGCTGTCCAGCTTTCTAAATGTGTTTACACTTACTGTGGTGTATATGCTAACATCATAATAATAGACGGAGTAAGTAAAATCACAGTTACTCGAAGCACAAGTACCTGTCATTGATACACAAACACACGTTCAGTTTTAATGGATCTCAGTTGAAACTAATGTGTCTGAAAGGGTTCATTCATCCAAACATGCAGCTATAGTAAGTACTTCTGTGCTTCGTATGTGAAACGGCCAATCGTGTAAGGCATCTCTGGGACGGTTTACTTCTTCATCCTTCTTAAGAATTCCGCTTCGCTTATGAATCCGTCACCTTAAAAAAATGGAGATGCCAAACTGCTCTCAAAAAGTACATATGGTGCTTGAACATTGAACAAAAGATATTTTCAATACAAAAATTTGTATTCGTCTTATGAATTCGTTTTGTAAGTTTGCTTTTATTATTATATCGCCGATGCACAAAAAAACTAACTCCAGACTCGAGGGCATTGCTGCAATTCTAAGAAAATGATTAACTCATTAAATGTAAAAATTCACATTGAAGCACTAAAATTGAAAATAGCACGCACTAATTTAAAACCAATGTACAAAAAGATTCTCTACCAGTATTTAATGCACGCGTTCTTTGAGGATAATATAATCATAATGCCTAACGCAGCAAATCGTTTCCTAATGCTACAAAGCATGGATATAATGACTAATACAGAGCTACGTCCCATGGATCAGGCATTTTTCATCGTGGGTTCGAATGCCGGTTAGGCCTCTCTATGTCTCTTGGTCTCACTAATGTGCCTATTGACACATATCAACTAATTACTCTTCAGTTTTATGTTCATCAAATTTATATTTCACATTTACAAGTACAGCAATTATATTTGAAAGCACAAACCGTTCAGATCCACAAACTCTCTGATCAAGTACAGTGCAAGTTCGGGATCCTGTGAGAGTTGGAGCACCATGTCTCTGACAGGTATAGGAATTGATGAACTGTAAAGAGAGAAGGGCAATGGTTGGTGGCATGCAGACGTGGTCATGGAATATATATGTTTGAAGTAAATGATAATATAGTTTGCTAAGTCCCTCATGAACTACAATGTACACACAAGTATTCATTACATATACAGTAAAACATTTGTGTCGGACTTTGATATATCAAACCCACGGTTGTCACGAAGTAATCAATTCTGTCGAACCTCGAAATATCTGCATAGGTCTCTTCAACATCGACACAACGGTTTCTTTGCTGTATCCCAAATCAGTTGACAATATTTACATGCGTGTCTGTTTAAAAAAATGAAATTGAAATTGAAATTTGAAAAATGTGAAAAATGAAATTGAAATTCCGGTTTTTCATGCCATTCCAGCTCCAGCTCTGTGAACCCGTCCCCCTTAAGATTTTAACTTTTAACTTGTCCCTTATTCCTCTTACCTTCGATCTAGATCAGAAGGGGAAGTAGCATACCGGACAGCAAGCCTGGTCGCTGCTTGAAGAGGTCACTACCGACGTTCCCACCTGACCTTTGAAGCCCCAGTTTTGCCTATACGCGCTTCCAGATCTGAAGGCACCACATGCCCGTTGAACCCCCATCGAGATGACCAGTGCGAGGCAGCCTAAAACTAGAGTCATCTGCATCTTTGGATCTGAAACATAAGAACCGTCTGCATAATATGTCACACTGCGTTGGGTGTGAGGTGAAAACTAGTTAACACGTTCAAGGCTATTCCTCTTAAATAGCGACGTGCGCGCTTGTACACGTGTGCATGTGTGGGATTATGTGTAGATTTCCAAATTGAATCAATAAGTTAACCCAGGAATCTACATGCAAAAGACTTCAGAGAGGAACCATCAATATACGGGTTTACAAATAAATACAAATTACAAATAAATACAAATTAATTACAGTGGTAATACACAACAGAGTGGAGATGCAAACTCCAATGGTACTACACTTTCAGTGGTCAGGATTCCAAAATAGGCCTAGGAGGGATATGTTAGATGAAGAAAACCAACAATGCTTCATACATCCGCTGGTTTTGGTGCTATGTGAGATGAAAAGAGGCATCTGCTTGCATAGTCTAAATACCTTCCTTAACGTTCTGTACCATTTTACTATCACCGATAAGTCAAGTTGTTCTAGACGATTCCAGATTACACGTGATTCTAAACACGTCTAAAGTTTTAGACGCCACTAAACCACTGCTTAAGGTAGTCATATGATCCCGACAGCTATTTGTCGTTAAAACACAATGTTTTGAACTTCTGATAAATGTTAACCGAAGCAATGTAATGTTCTATACCATTCTACTATCATTGATAAGTCAAGTTGTTCTAGACGATTCCAGATTACACGTGATTCTAAACACATGCAGTTTAAGACGCCACTAAACCACTGCTTACCGTCGATGGTTATACATTTGTATATTCCCAACAGCTATTTGTTGTTAAAACACAGTGTTTTGAGTTTCTGATAAATGTTAACAGAAGCAATGTAAAACAAGTACGTCATTGTGTAACAGTAATTTATACCGCCATGTATGCGCGTGTATCATTTGATATAGGAGATCAGGTAAGTTTCGTGCTTGACACTTTTGTGAGTTATCGATAACCTTTCTCTTACATCATGACTTTACAGTCAATGTGTTATTATCTAACATTTGGAATTTCTGTAAATGGCACAGTTTCCAGGGCAAATTTAGATTCAAAACTTACGTAATGACGTTAAAAAAACTCACTTAAAGTAGTAAAAAGTGGCAACATGATGCAAAATGAAGGCCATATGTTGCATTCTGGGTAATTCATAACATTGTATCTCATACTGAAGGAAATGCCATTGTTAAGATCAGGATATATAAATGATTACCTAACGACCAAAATAACGTTTGTTTGGCAAATCAAATGCAGGGTTCAGCATACCATTATTATGATATACAAAACAGTGTCAAAGAAATAAAATATATTCAGCATCACCGAAGACACACCATTATGACGGTGATGCTTTAGAGAGAGAGAGAGAGAGAGAGAGAGAGAGAGAGAGAGAGAGAGAGAGAGAGAGAGAGAGAGAGAGAGAGAGAGAGAGAGAGAGAGAGAGAGAGAGAGAGAGAGAGAGAGAGAGAGAGAGAGAGAGAGAGAGAGACAGAGACAGGGAACGCGCACATTTTTCATTAAAAACCTTTTCTTTAAAATCAACACATGCCAGGAACTTTATCAGTAGTCAATAGAAACTATTTTTAATGCGATCCGATCCAATAAGGTAATCAAGCATTTAAATTGTATTACTTTTTCAGAGCCACACGTTAAATGTTCTATAGAATGCAAAAATGAATACCCTGTAGTATACACGTCGAGCCACGCTGTGTAATCTCCATTCACCTTTCAATCCCCAATAAAGGGATGAACCCAATTTATATTTGCTCCACTAAGCAAACAGTGTTAAGTGATTGGTGTCATTCAAATGCCTTATGCGAAGACTATAAACGACCACGAGAGCAATCAACACTGCATAAATACATAAACCTTGATATTTCACACTTTGCCATTTGTAGTTTGCAGCAGGTTACCTAAATGACTACAGCCATTAAAATCTGCTCATAACAATGTATAAAATCAATTTTGATGATAGATTTAATTACTTTTTGTGACATTCTCAAAACATCGACGACGATGAGGTGATTCAAGTGACAACTGATGACCAATAATATCAATATGATATCGGTTGTTTTCATTTCTATGATGCTTGCAATGTAATATTTGTGACGTTTTTAACGTATCACACACTTTACATGCATGGAGATAGATATAAATCTGTTATTCGATATTTATACATTGTACACATACACGTTCCTTTTGTTTCATGGTCGAATGACACACAGTGGCCACCGTCTCCATGTAGTCACCCGAGATGCCCAACGGGCTATGACCACCTTCTTCATGTAGTCACCCGAGATGCCCAACGGGCTATGGCCACCTTCTTCATGTTGTCACCCGAGATGCCCAAGGGGCTATGGCCACCTTCTTCATGTTGTCACTCGAAATGCCCAACGGGCTAGCTATGGCCACCTTCTTCATGTAGTCAAATGACCATCTTCTTCATGTTGTCACCCAAATCTCCCAACAGGCTATGACCACCTTCTTCATGTAGTCACCCGAAATGTCCAAGGGACAATGACCACCTTCTTCATGTAGTCACCCAAATCTCCCAACGGGCAATGACCACCTTCTCCATGTTGTCACCCAAATCTCCCAACAGGGCTATGACCACCTTCTTCATGTAGTCACCCGAAATGCCCAACGGGCTATGACCACCTTCTTCATGTAGTCACCCGAGATGCCCAACGGGCTATGGCCACCTTCTTCATGTTGTCACCCGAAATGCCCAACGGGCTAGCTATGGCCACCTTCTTCATGTAGTCAACCGAGATGCCCAGGGGGCAATGACTATCTTCTTCATGTTGTCACCCAAATCTCCCAACAGGCTATGACCACCTTCTTCATGTAGTCACCCGAAATGTCCAAGGGGCAATGACCACCTTCTCCATGTAGTCACCCGAAATGCCCAACGGGCTATGACCACCTTCTTCATGTTGTCACCCGAAATGCCCAACGGGCTATGACCACCTTCTTCATGTTGTCACCCGAAATGCCCAAGGGGCTATGACCACCTTCTTCATGTAGTCACCCGAAATGCCCAACGGGCAATGACCACCTTCTCCATGTTGTCACCCAAATCTCCCAACAGGCTATGACCACCTTCTTCATGTAGTCACCCGAAATGCCCAAGGGGCAATGACCACCTTCTCCATGTAGTCACCCGAAATGCCCAACGGACAATGACCACCTTCTCCATGTAGTCACCCGAAATGCCCAACGGGCAATGACCACCTTCTCCATGTAGTCACCCGAAATGCCCAAGGGACAATGACCACCTTCTTCATGTAGTCACCCGAAATGCCCAACAGGCTATGACCACCTTCTTCATGTAGTCACCCGAAATGTCCAAGGGGCAATGACCACCTTTCTCCATGTAGTCACCCGAAATGCCCAACGGACAATGACCACCTTCTCTCATGTAGTCACCCGAAATGCCCAACGGGCAATGACCACCTTCTCCATGTAGTCACCCAAAATGCCCAACGGGCTATGAACACATTCTTCATGTAGTCACCCGAAATGCCCAACGGGCTATGAACACATTCTTCATGTAGTCATCCGAAATGCCCAACGGGCTATGAACACATTCTGCATGTAGTCATCCGAAATCTCTTAAGGGCAATGACCACCTTCATTCATGTAGTCACCCGAAGTGACCAACGGGCAACGCTCCCCTTCTCTGCAAGATATACACCCCCCGTACGTGACAATGATGGAGGTTGGTCATATATAAAAGAGATTGACTGTTACCGACTGTTAACCGACTAGTAACCATAATTGCTCTATTCAAGTTTCTTTGTGGACATACACATGACATGCATTTTGTCAACTCAATTATCAATTCGTTATCTTTTGCCAATGTTATCTCCAAATTACTCAACCCGTGAAGATCCGGGTTAGAATTGAATTGTAACCCATGCTTGTCGGGATCGGGTGGTCAGACTCACTGACTTGGTTGACACATGTCATCGTATCCCAATTGCGTAGATCGACTCTCATGCTGTTGATCACGGGATTTTCTGGTCCAGATTCAATTATTTACAGACACTGAGTGCGGCTTAAAACTAAACTCACTCACTCGAATTACTCGAACGAAACAATTGTTATACTGGAAAACAAAATGAAAGTAGCAAGTGAATTTAAGATCTGAAATATATGTTTGTAATGATGGACTTTTTGGATGTGGTGGAGATCGTTTCGTGAAAAACATAACACCTGAAAAGATTGATGCTCCTTCGTCTAAAGAGTTTTACATAACTATGAAACTAAACGACGGTAAGGTTATTCAGTTCTGCTTTCTACTTCCTGCTGGTATGCTAAATCTTTATATAAACTGGTTTATGTCATATTTCTAACATTCCCGCCACATGCCTTAGATATTGATTGCACAACATATCGACTTGTTATCTGTCATTTTCTTTGGGGAACAAACCTCCCATTTCAGACGAAAGTCACTCAAACGTGACAATACATTGGACAGCTTTCTTAGAGGAATTATTTAAAGTCGTAGTTTATCGCCAACAACGTTGTGGCGAAGTATGCAAGATCATTTGTCTGCATATAGAGCACGTGGAGAGCCGGCATATTTGATAAATCAGCTTCTATGGTTTAGGGAGGCTCTGTTTACTTTGAGCAGCTTCGGGCAGTGAAGACAGGGAAGCTAGTCACATTCCGAAGACGATTACCACTTTGGTGAAATAACTGTAAATCCGTGGGTTGTTATGGTGAACCAAGGGTCATAATCTGGTCGAATCCTGATGATCGGATACTGGAAACCTAAAGGGACACTACTGTGCACACCGAATTGCCCTGAACACGACTAGGCCATCCACGGCGCCATTAAAATTCAGAAGCCACGGCCAATACCAAATGTCCTCAGGGATATCATGAGAGAGGTGAAATGGGGTTCAACGTTCAAGATTATTGCACTTGCATATAGAGACGTTGATGCGGGTTTTAGAGTTTTCATCCATTGAAATACTACATGCATTTAACATGGATACCCCGCACTTTATACTGACTCCGATGTGATCAGTCCTTAGTGTATGCTCTTAATGTCGACCGCCAGGCATGGAATCGACATCGTTTTACGTCTTTTGGTATAATCCCGCTTGGGGATCGAACTACTAATATTCCGTTCTCTAGAACGACGACAATGTCACGAGACCACGAAGGCGTTACCCGGATATAATGAACTCTGTCTGAATTAAACATGAGGGCAAAAGAAACAACCCAAAGATTCACTGGCTGATATCTCCAAAACATGTTCATTAAATTGGAGGACATTGGTGTTTCTCCATACAGTTTTTGGCATGAGGCTCACAACATGGCAAAACCTGTCCCATTCTGATAATTTGATCCTGAAATCAAGTTTATGTTGCAGGTAAAACATACTGCAAAAACACACGTTTGAAGACCTGCCATGACAAACTGAACTTGAACATTTCTGTCATTGAATGAACCAATTGTGTATTGGTGTATAGTGGAGAGATTCAGTGGTAATTATCTATACGAGTCACATGGTATAGATTAGTCATGTAAAGAAGTATTTCCTGTAGTATCCTCAAGCATCTGTATTCTAAAATCACTCACCCCTTAGCGTAATGCTTGGTAATCAGAGACAATGCACCACTCTTAGTAGAGCTGGTATTATGTCCAGAGGAAAACACTGGATTCGACTGTTGTGAACATCGCCGACGTAAAATACAAAAGCAAATAACAATCGTGGACAGTTTCTAACCAACGAGCTTGCAACATTTATGTATTAATGTTCAGATCCTCCCATTTGTCAGACATCCCAATCGTTAGACAGGTTAAAACAACAACTGGGTGAGTGTACAGCTAATCCCCTGCCTGTTACCTCTTAATGAAATAGGAATGGCCCATAAAATGAATAATAGAACAGAACAGAACTTTATTATACTCAGGCCGATATTATCGGCAAATCAGCATCATATGAGGTACAAATGACAATAAATGATAATATTATGGTATTATGGTCATTGAAATGTTAACATATTTAGAGAAATGTTTGACAATTTTGGGGATCTAATGGGATGTCTAACTAATGGGAGTAAACCTTCAGATACGTTGCCACAGCCATGGCCACAAGAACCTACGGTTGGTTTGCTTTGGAAGAGCTGCTGCACAATACAAACTTGGCGATACTCTCTGTTAAAACATACTTAAGTAACTGCTGCTGCTGAATGGGTCCACAAACAGTAAGAGCCAACAGAATCGACAAGATAATCGTTCTTGATATTGCTTTGAAACCTTTTTTCAAACTGCAGGCTAACATCACTTCAGAAACATACCACCTGCTCTGCATTTCAAATTTGCAGACAAAGATATCGTGGCATTAAACTTTTAAATATTTCCCCAAATGTACTGCAATCTTCAAAAACAGTTTTCTTTTCCAATACGAATGCACATCGTCAACGTTTAAGTATAAGAACATCCAGCATATCGTGAATGTAAACTCTACTCATTAATGCTCACAGGACCATCCCCCGCGCCCCCCCCGTCATATTGTCACAAGGGATGTGCCTATTGTTCACAATAACAACATTCGCCATATATCATGTAATCTAACAACTGAAATCACAACATTAACAATCACTATAGGTGTGCACCAATGAGGTCTCTTGGCAGACTCCCTATTGAAACTGGTAGATGGCATAAAATTGATAAAGAAAATAGATTGTGTACATCATACAAGAGTAAAATTGGGGATGAATTTCACTTTATGTTAGAATGCAATGAGTTAAACGAATTAAACAAATATCTCCCTGCATATTATTGTAAACATCCCACTGTTGATAAATATATTTCACTTATGTCTATCACATACAAACCAATACTCGTTAAACTTGCTCTTTTTGTAAAATGGGGCTTGCGTAGGCTCCGTTAATGTAATATGTATGTGTTTCATTGTTTTGCACATATATTTGTTTCACTCTATGTCATGTATATGACTCATGAGAATAAACTTTGAAACTTGAAAACTTGGCAATATGACGATTTGTAACGGGTGGCACAACGTCGAGCAACGAGATGAGCTGAACTCAGGTAGCCTGAAATACGCTTTGCAGTCATTGCTTCGTCTTTCCAGCTAGATTCCGTAAAGTTTAGTTTTGGATCAATCGATCCTGTAAACTTCGGTTAAACCCTGGACAACCAGAAGGGCGTTGCTCATTTTGTGGGTTGTTGGTACCTTTACCATAGTTGGCTAATCATGATCACATGTATTGGTCACGGCATGTCCACAGTCTGTAACGCTCTGTGCGATGCAAACGCCGCATCGCTAGTCCACACACGAACAATGAATGAAATCAAGTAAATCACATCTGTGATAAGCGGAATCAATACTGATGACAGACATAACGGTCCACAGAGGTTTATCGACCTTCCTTTAAAATGTTAAAAAAGGATTCATACCATATGTGTGAGACTACTGCATGCGACACACACAAACTACAGGATGATATTTGGTATTTCCTTTTTGAACTGAACGTTATATTTCTTCTAAAACTTGGTATCAACATGCATATTTTATGATGTTCTACCTTTTATGAAGACTAAATAATTTCAATACTATTTCTCCTTTGACGCCTATCAAATTATTAATCGAGATCAAGACAGAATAATCTTTGGCGTTGACATTTTTTAATATTTAACTCACATTGCCGCATTTACTTTCGACTTTACATAGAGTGGTTGAAAAAACTCATGAGTACTTTGGATCTGGTCAGTCTGGCTAAATTGTCACCATTCGTTCCAAAACTACCACCTTTCGTTACTCACATCAGTTTAACAAACTAAAACAATCTAAATTTCAAAATTGCGAACACTACCTAAAAAAATCAAGTTATTTTTAACCCCTAAAGAGGATGAGTACTGTGCATTAACGTCTGTAGGTGACTTGAGACCTGATGTCTTCAGCGATGACTGGATGGCCATAGTGATTACCAGACAACTGCTGTGAATGAAATGTTACGGCTCTGTATGGCGACATGACTCAGCATGGATATGCACGAACAATCCAGCTTTACGTACTGTTACTTACTGGCCAGACCGGATGGAAGCCAAGTGGGGCCATATTTCTCTCATAACAAGCAATGTTCTGGCTATAATGACCATTTGTCAATGCCATCATTTGGAACAGTTGGCAAATGGTACATTGCTTTTCAAAAACAATAGAATTTGAATTATCTGTCTAAACTAACCTCTTCTTACCTTCAGTGAACGTGGACTGTTGGTATCTCCTGACAATCGCAACAATGAGGAAAAATGAAAACGAGCGCAGTTTTAAACCAATTTGGACAAATGTAGGAGACGAACGCATAATTGTGAATTATTAATTTATATGAGACATAATAGCTTCATTTTCGGTGTCGTCAAGGCTACTTCCTGTCGAAGTGATTATGCAGCGACAATTGTTATAGAGAGATCTGTCACACAACCCACGGGAATGATTGCTACGGGGACGATTGCAATATAAGGTAAAGGGCATAGCAGAAAGGGACGGAATATCCATAGGATATTTAATGACTTGCAGCTAATTCCCATGGTACAAACTGAAAGGGGATGGGTTTTATGATGACAAAAGTGCCTGCGTTATTTGATTGACAAATACATCATATCCTCTTTAGTCTGAAAACGTTATCCGAAGAAACATTTCATTTGACGTCATGTCATATTTGCATTAAATGAAACACAGAATGTAAATTTATAAACTGGTTATAAAGGAATTCTTGTTATTAGAAATCGAGGAGCCATAATTCCTTTAGCAAGAAGACATAAAAACACACAATCTATCTATTCCAGGAAATTTTATGCCGGTTTATAGAAAATATCATCCTATCATGAAAAGGAAGTAACCGTTCAGAACGCTAAGCGCTTATGACCCAGAGATGTTTTGTTGACGTAAAGTACAATGACGTCATAGTGGATGATGTACGTGTGGGTGTTAATATTTTGTGATGCCAAACGTCCTTGTTTGTCAATGATGTACCGGGAATATTGCCGAGTGCGGCGCTTTACTTGCATTTTCACACTGGTTTTGAATATATAATAACATATGTGCTCCGCATAAACAACAATTCGATGAAGACGACACTTGGGAAAGCATAAGTTCGGTGGGTAGGTAGGTTTGTTGTTTAACGCCGCACTCATCAATATTCCAGTTATATTGCAGCGGTCTGTAAATAATTGAGCCTGGACCAGACAATCCAGTGATCAATGTTACGAACATCGATCTACGCAATTTGGATACAATAACGTGTGTCAGCGAACCTGACCACCCGATCCCGTTAGTTGCCTCTTACGACAAGCATGAGTTGCTGAAGATCAATTTTAACTCGGATCTTCACGGGTCTGTGGTGGGTAGATGCAAGGTTCTGAGCCCAATCACGAAGACTGTTGTATGGTACACTCATAATATATTAGTTCGAATGTATCTTTAAGCACATTACTCACCGTGCTTACATGGTGCAATAGCGCCAAAAATACAAACGAACAGTAAAATTGTTCGGTAAAAAAATCCTCGGTAAAATAGTTCCGGTAAAAAAGTCCTAAAACGATATTTAATCCGTGAGCACATTATGTTTTTTCAGATAAAGCATCAATTTAAAATTTTAATTTGTCATTATATGGGATTTCTTCATGTTTTTAAAAATCTTTGATGTCAATCTTGTCAAATTAATAAATAAATCATTTTTTACTACAAAAGGACTTTTTTTACCAAGGACGTTTTTACCGGTACTTTTTTTACCAAGGATATTTATACCGAGGACTTTTTTCTATAATCTGCACACATCTCTGTTCACAAAATGTCAGAACGTGTGACATTTGTATTTAATTAGATTTGATTAAAAGTATGTTATTAAATTACGCCTACCGTACTCAGAGGGTCAGTGGTGTCTTGCCAAGCTGGTCATGTCCAACGAACTGGCATTTTTCCCTCGCAGTAGTGACCAAGTTTTAAAGAGGAGTAACGATAAAATCGGTCACCGAAATTGTGACAGTTACATAAGCACAAGTATTGAGCTAACAAAGCAATGGACTTTATTTGGATGAATCAAGGAATAGAGCTAAGCATAAACAAATCTGGATTTAAAATGCACGTGTGAAACGGCTTTTCTTACTTTAGTTGCTCTTTAATGCCACCCAGAAATATAATGCCACCCATATAACGACGGCTATAAATAATCCAATCTAGACAAGACGAACCAGTGACTGATAGTGTGAACATCGATACGCACTGTGGGGGCGCGCTGATACAACATAAACCTAGTCAATGAGCCCCCCTTCCGATGCATTAAGTCTCGTAGGCAAGCACGGGTAGCGATGACAAATTCTAGCCAAATATCCCGGCGGTGACTGGATGTAAAACCATGGGCTTGTTTCCCTGCTGCAAATATAAACAAACAAACAAACAGGACATAAGTAGGTTTTTTATTATATATTCCGATTGGTGGAAGAGGTAGTAAAGAGATGGATGCGCGTATTAATTGACTTCGCGGACTGTTAAATAACCACAACTAAACTAATCCAAAGCAAGTAAATATATGCTATTCTTTTATAAGTCAAGACTTCTTATAATGAAGTAACGTTCTGATAATGAAGATTTCCTCTGGGTTGTTTGTTATCCACCGTATCACTACATACATCCAAATATTGCCACAAAAGTATCTTTAATCATTTTGCATTTATGAATCGTAATGTTAGAAAGGTAAGGAGATTCTCTGAACCCCTTTCTATTGTGCATTAAAAGAATATTTAAGTTTCGAAAATCTTATAATATATTTTCATTTCAGAGACTAGACTTCGTCGAGAGTGTCATTTCAGAGACTAGATTTTAGATATTTACAAGTCTCACGTCACAGTGTATGAATAGCTGTATACATTACCATCTGATGTATAGGTTTTCACCAGATGTGCCTAATTCCTTAGATGCATACCGTTCATCAGAGTCATTAGTAGACTTGCACCGCCTATTGCCTTCGAAACTCTACTAATTATATACAAATCTACCAAACGCGCAGGCACCGCCACAATATGCTCGTTAGTATTTCCGCATGTCGGAAGTCAGACACGTTGGATGGTGCATGCGTCACTTTAAACATTTGAAAGGAAGCAATGCTCATATATCGATTGCCAGATCTCGCTTTGCAGTTAAAGTCAAGAAATATGAACAGTATAGACAGTAAAAACAGATCAAACCAAAACGAAAATTCTTCAAGAAACACATTACCAGCGAAGACAAACAGACATTCTTTCGTTATACATGTCTTTCTTTAAGGTAAGGTAGGTATCAATCCCTGTGATAATAAATACGTGTTTCGTTTTCGAAGCTTCTCTCATTTTCCGTCATTGAATGCATAACATAACTGAGATAGGACTCTCGGCGCTGTCACATGCAACGCGCTTTCGCTATCGCGGGCATAGTGTTAAATCCTGAATTTACCGTATGTTGTATCTGTATGCATCACTTGTGAGCATTGAGGAGTACTGCTGTTGCCTCTACGCACACAATGGATGTGATCATTTGCATAGTCAACACACGAGTAGTACTGATTGCAATGATAGTAATCAATACCTCAGAAGGACTACAATGAAGTCCCAAGACAACCTTACATTTAGAAAATATCACAGTGATGAGAGGTACTGTTTATTTAACCTTATGGATCTGTATGAAATAATGTTACAATGAACCTCTTTTTATCCTAATCTTAATTAAGTTACACTTTCCATGAACAGAGGTGCAGGTCAAAAGGATTAAATCTCATCTTTGACAACCTCATGAGAAATATTTCATGTCCTTAGATATTACACTGAGATCATTGTTCATCACGATTTCAGATGTCAGGGTGTTAGCCCACGTCAGTGCCAGCATGTTCAGGATGTCTGCCACAGCGCTCGCTTCCTCCAATCAGAACGTTGCCCCAGTATCGTGGGTTATTTGTGTCCACGCGAAACACAATCTTAGCCTCCATTTGTTGGATTGTCCTGAGCGTATGAAATAGAACTCCCACACCGGCCGTTGGTAGCAGAAGGCAATAACCATATGGGAAATCTTCTTTCGTGAACACTTGATGTCTTCCCTGAGTAAAACTACGGTTATAATTGGTACATAGTTTTGCCATTTGGCTTGGGATCATTCAGTTTCATTTAACCCGTGAAGGTCCGGGTTAGAATATTGATCTTCAGTAACCCATTGCTTGTCGTAAGAGGCGACAAACAGGATCGGGTGGTAAGACTCGCTGACTTGGTTGACACATGTCATCGGTTCCCAATTGCGCAGATCATGCTGTTGATCACTGGACTGACTGGTCCAGACTCGATTATTTACAGACCGCCGCCATATAGCTGGAATATTGCTGGGTGTGGCGTAAAACTAAACTCACTCACTCAGTTTCATTTATATTTGAATGAAGTGGAGATACAGCACGAAACAGATATATATCACTGAGATGTATATATCTGAGAGTAATTGTTATAATGTCGAAGACATTTGGTTTATGAAATACTACTTCTTTATTTTTTCTGTGCCTGGTAACGTAAACGACAAAGAATTACCATGGTTATCCGACGAATATGATTCCATCGTTCGTAAAAGGCAACATAGTGAAAGGAATACACCGGATCCCTGAAAATCAGGTTGTCGATGGCTGTAGTTTCAGAATATCATAACAAGCGAGACAGGTATTTTGTGTATCCCTGTAATGGATCTAATGTTTCAGTGATATGTTCATGTTTGTATTTTAATTTAACGAAAAGAAACATTGTTCTCAAATACCCAGGTCACCTCGACCTAGCGTAATTAGAAATTTTAAGACATAAAGGAATAAGTATGGTTTAACGTTCGTTAGAAATATTCCAATAATGTCACTGCAGTTAGTGTGTTTCTTTGTCAACTGTTTAGATGCATGTATGACGACAGTTTGTAAGCAATCAGATAATCCAGTGATTGTCATCATGGTCATCGATCGACGCAATCGGGAAAGGATGACATGAGTCCGCCAAGTCAGCGAGCCTGACTCTCTGATCTCAGTGGCCTCTTTCTACATGGGTTGCTGAAGATCAGAACTACTCAGGATCTTCACTGGTCCACTTCTGAGAAACCGGGACTTCGGGCTAACGAGATAATGTTATATGTTAGTATTAGCGCACATATAACATTTATGAAATCTGAAATCTCCATATTGACATATGCAAACAAATCCATCTCTGTATATATCTTTGCAAATAAAGATGTGGATAATATGTCAAAGTTATCAAACTAAATGTGAAATGCTCAAACAGCATCATTTCACTCAAGTTGTATACCCTTAGAACTTGATACTGATACACAAACTGGCCACATCAAAATCTGATGGCTTTCCTGAAGACTATTGTAGAGTTATATGAGAGCTGGCAGCTTCCATATGAGCTGTGATAGACGATCTAAAGACTATTCATGACTGACATCTGAGCTGATACAATTATTGCATGATATTTGATCCAAAGCTATTGTCTCGTGATTTATTTACAGCTGTTATCTGCCTGGTTAGTGAATCGCGAGTAGCTAAAAAACACACAAAAAGAGTATACAGTGTTTTTTCAGTATACTACGCTTTTTGATTAAATTCTGTTTTTATATAGTATTGAAATTTTTCGATCATCGTTAAATATTTACGTATAAAGTAATTACCGAAAATAAGCTTCTAAAATCCAAAACATGTCCATTTAGTCAAGAAAAGTAATTGTATTTTCACTACAAACCAATAACGTTATTTCTAAGATGCCTAGCGGTTAGAACAATCGAAAAAAAATTACATTATCAGACAATAAAGGTATAGTTTTTTGATGACGTAACAATTGAATGACGTTTTCCCGTCACTGTGCCATTCTAGTGTGCCCCCTCGTAATCGAACCATTTTACATTACGTCACAATGTAAGCGACGTCACGATGCATGTCAGTTGTCATCGCCTCGTACGGCCTCCTACAGTAAACTACACCGTTGCATCCAGTTTCTTGGTTTGCTGTTGCTTCACGCAGCTAACATCACTGGTGGAAACAATACGTTTATGTTTTACGACGGTTAAAATGTGTCATTTCGACTCACAAGTTTTCAGCGACACGGTAACGATCGTAATGTTTACATTCCCACAATGCAATTGTGGAATGTCGCTTGACTACTCAACTTCCTCTGGATGTACTGATCTAAACTTACGCTGGTAGTAGAAATGCAACGTTCATTTTGCCCCATATGGTTTACGTTAATGACAGATGTAATTAAAATAATTCAGAGAAGATATTTAATCCGAACATAAACCGTCATCAAACTGTTATCGTTTGTTTTTTTTGGTAACGTTCGTCTTAACGTAGGGGGCAGACACATCAATAGAACAGCGCGCCAGTTAGCCCTGTGCGAGGATTCTTAATTTAGGTCACCGACACCGTCGTTTGTTTTCTGCCTTAAATTAATCGTAATTATCTTTAGAAAGTATTAAATTTGGCATCTTAGAAAAGAAATACACTTCGCCCTACCACCATGTATAGTGCAATAAAACACACTTTCGCCCTGAACTATTATAACGTTAAAGCACTCGGACGCAAGCGTCCTCGTGCTTTAACTATAATAGTTCAGGGCAAAAGTGTGTTTTATTACACTATACATGGTGGTAGAGCGAAGTGTATTTCTTAAGTCAACAATACTGTGACATGTAAACGATAGAATGACGTCATAGCTTGACGTGAATGACGTCATAGCTTGACGTTGATGTTGGTTTGTTTAGGCCTGGAACAGGTCAACCAATATGGATCCTCCAAATGTTGATTTGTTTAGGCTTGGAACAGGTCGACCAATATGGATCCACCAAATGTTGATTTGTTTAGGCTTGGAACAGGTAAACCAGTGTGGATCCTCTAAATGTTGGTTTGTTTAGGCCTGGAACAGGTCGACCAGTGTTGATCCTCTAAATGTTGGTTTGTTTAGGCTTGGAACAGGTAAACCAGTGTGGATCCTCTAAAATGTTGGTTTGTTTAGGCCTGGAACAGGTAAACCAATATGGATCCTCCAAATGTTGATTTGTTTAGGCTTGGAACAGGTCGACCAATATGGATCCACCAAATGTTGGTTTGTTTAGGCGTGGAACAGGTAAACCAGTGTGGATCCTCTAAATGTTGATTTGTTTAGGCCTGGAACAGGTAAACCAGATGTTGATCCTCTAAATGTTTATTTGTTTAAGCCTGGAACAGGTAAACCAATGTGGATCCTCCAAATTATGGTTGGTTTGTTTAGGCCTGGAACAGGTAAACCCGTGTTGATCCTCTAAATGTTGGTTTGTTTAGGCCTGGAACAGGTAAACCCGTGTTGATCCTCTAAATGTTGGTTTGTTTAGGCCTGGAACAGGTAAACCAGTGTGGATCCCCTAAATGTTGGTTTGTTTAGGCCTGGAACAGGTCGACCAATATGGATCCCCAAATGCTGGTTTGTTTAGGCCTGGAACAGGTAAACCAGTGTGGATCCTCTAAATGTTGGTTTGTTTAGGCCTGGAACAGGTAAACCGATGTTGATCCTCTAAATGGTTATTTGTTTAAGCCTGGAACAGGTAAACCAATCTGGATCCTCCAAATGATGGTTTGTTTTATTTAGGCCTGGAACAGGTAAACCCGTGTTGATCCTCTAAATGTTGGTTTGTTTAGGCCTGGAACAGGTAAACCAGTGTGGATCCTCTAAATGTTGGTTTGTTTAGGCCTGGAACAGGTAAACCAGTGTGGATCCCCTAAATGTTGATTTGTTTAGGCCTGGAACAGGTCGACCAATGTGGATCCTCTAAATGCTGGTTTGTTTAGGCCTCGAACAGGTAAACCAATATGGATCCTCTAAATGCTGGTTTGTTTAGGCCTGGAACAGGTCGACCAATGTGGATCCCCTAAATGTTGGTTTGCTTAGGCCTGGAACAGGTCGACCAATGTTGATCCACCAAATGATGATTTGTTTAGGCCTGGAACAGGTAAACCAGTGTGGATCCTCTAAATGTTGGTTTGTTTAGGCCTGGAACAGGTTTACCAATATGGATCCTCTAAATGCTGGATTGTTTAGGCCTGGAACAGGTAAACCAATCTGGATCTTCTAAATGTTGGTTTGTTTAGGCCTGGAACAGGTCGACCAATATGGATCCTCAAATGTTGATTTGTTTAGGCTTGGAACAGGTAAACCCATGTTGATCCTCCAAACACAAAAATCAGACCTGGATGAGTTGATAATAGTAATACGCACTCATTCAAGGCACAACCACGTATACGTACCAGCACTGCCACCGAGTCACACTTTGACCACCTTGAACAACTGCTCTCACCTATACTCCAAGGCAGAGTTCATTGTCATTACAGGAATGTAGTGAAATTAACGAATAATTCTTTTGAGGACATGAGCTACGTTAAAGATCTGGCAGTCTAACCGCGAAGAGAGTTAAGCATTCATCAAGAGAGAGCAGAGTAGCACGATGCCATTTTATCTAATATGTTCTTTTCCTTCATTGTTTACATGTCCAGTGGGGAGTGACAATGACCAAATCATTTATTTACACGTAGTCATAAAACTGCAACGCGAGAGAATAATCAGATTACCGAAACAGATTCCTGTGGGCGTAAAAGACAAATAGTCAAACACTTTTTATGAGTAATACGCGCTTTTCACAACTAGATTTTATAAGAAAAAAGCGATTTAGAAGAGCGATTTAGATCTAAGGAATCACCCTGGTGTCGATGGATGTTTTGCCTTTGTAATGAATATTCTAGTTAAAAGAGTCTGTGATGGTTTATCTCGATACGAATACAAGGCCTACACTTAAGTACCTACGAAATTTGTCCAAACGTTTGATGTTCCTGCTTCAAAAGAAGCATAGCGAAAATAGATTGCATTGAAACATCTTATAGTGTCGTGTTACAAGTGACAATTTAAACTGATGTTTGTCTCGGTATGTATACGTGCTATAGGTGCATGCATTTTGTGAGTGAGTGAGTAAATATTTAACGTCACATCGGCAATATCGCAGCCATATCGTGACGAAGCATGCATTTTGTACTTCACATATTGCGAAAGCGTTGCCAAAGTAACATTTTTATTAGACTAACCTAGCTTAAACAAAACATAGTTTGCTGAATACAGCCCATAGCTTATCGCATATGCCAATCTTAGACGTTAACCTTAGAGAAGAAATCAATAGACAATCAATACCTTCTAAACGTCCCTCCCACTAAGATAGGTCAACATGTATTCGACAACCAATGCAACAATACCATATATTTCTAACTGCAATGGGAATAATATTATCACAACCCTTCTTAAACAGTATTTTCTCCACCTACATTTCTGGCTGGCCAATATCGATACATTGTGGCCACCGTCTGGGTGTGATTGTGTGTTTTGGTCAGTAATTGCCTCTCCACAGTTGTAAATTCATCCCACGTGGACCTCTTCTACAGCCTCTATCACTTGCGGACCTGGGAGAAGTCCCACGCCGTTTGTACCATGTCAACACCAGTGATCCTGGTTCAATGTGAAATTAAGAATGTGCCCTGTTGCAATTGTTTGTCGCACGACTGCGGACGCACTGGCGTAAAATCATATCCCTTTAGGCCAGGAGTTAAGTCTCTATGCTTTCAATATTAAGTTTCACGCTTTGTTAGATGTATTGAGTGTGCATTTGAAGTGTAAATCGAGTAAGGAAACGCTCACTTCCCCTTGTTTTGCCACAAGTCATTGTGCATTACGCTGAAGGCTATATAGTTCTCAGTGTTTAGTACACGGTCCGCATTAACTTGAGAGGCAGAGCGACAGGATTCGTCAGGTAGGGCGAAAATTATTATTACTTTCGTCATGACAACGTTTGGACATAAACTAGCATTAGGTATAAAGTAGCTTTTTCCTCTTTCAAAACTGATGCTTAATGTGACAAGATGCTAAAAATGAAAAATCGATGCATTTTGCGACACATTATGGGTTACTAAGTTGAAAGTTTGATAGCTCAAACTTGATGTACATTTAATACTTGTAAAATGTTGGAATCTAAAGTTTACGAAAAAAACTCAATTACCGAACGGTGTTTATGTGTATGGCTAAATTTGACTATTGTTGAAACCGACAAAGATACATGAAGAGTTATTAACATTCACGGATAACGTCAAATGACCCAATGCATGATGTGAACAATTGTTTTTGAAACTTGTTTTTTTATTCCCTGTAATAAAGTTTATGGTATTGATTAGGTAGTTTTACTTCTAAATACATCAAATTCGTTCAAGAAGCAAAGTCATTATTTTCAATCCCTGGTAAGCTAGAGATATTGTAACAGCACTAGCGTGTATTTCCTAACCATAATATTACCGTCAGTATTTCAATCTCACCCAATACCCCGCGCCTTTCGATCACACCCATCATTGGTATAAACGTTACTTGGAGAAGACATAAATCACCAAATTATAATTATTTACGTGATTTATAGTGATTTATATTCCATTTAAAATAATCAAATGGATCAGGAACAGGTGACACCCTTGCGAGGTCGTCTACTACATTTCGTTATATTATGGTGGTTCATTTATAGGATATTGTGTGCGCATATCATGACAATAGATAATAAAGCGATGATAATAATAAAATTTAAATTGATTATTTTTTAATAATTTAAAATTTGATGAATGTGAATGATCACTATACTTAGATGTTTACATGGAGCAATTTTGATTTAACCTCACATTGGACCCAAAAGAATAATACCGAATATATGTAACTACCACTTCTACCGTAAATAATATTGGTTAAATATACAAGCAACATATGAAAGACACGAACCGGTAGAAAGCTAGTGATAAAAAAACATTATTTAACCAAATTAGAATTCCAATGTTTATAGCCACTATAAATTCATAGCTATTTTTATAAGTTATTATGATTTTATTATTAATGATTTGTCAAATTATGCTTGTCAGATAAAAGCCAGAACACTAAATACATACATGCGAGAAATCACTTTCCATAGACATGCGAAATCCCTCCCAAAGCAGTCAATTATACATTCAATTATATACATGTACAATCTTTATCATGAACCTGTTTTATAAATCACTATAACATTGTGATAATACCGGGCGTTTACGAAAAGGTGAGAGTACCCTGCTCTATCAGTTATAAAGCAACAAGCACTTTGTTTTAATGGAAATTGTGAATAGCGGCGTTTACCAGTATAACAGGACACACTTAATCCTCCTGCCAAAACCTTGCTAAAGCCTGATTTTCAGTAATCCATTACTACAATTTTCACCACTATTTCACATTTTACTCTCCATTGAAATTTGTCATGGAAGATGATCCTGACTTTAAAGTTTTGAAGTTACACGGTCCAAAAATCAAAAGCCGGATAACGAAGGTTTACGGGTTTTCGAGGTTCGGACTACAGGGGTTTTGTCGTGGACGTTTTGCAATGTCTTATGTAAATCGCTCCCATATACGACACTTGCGAAATGCTTAATTTCCTCCCGAGTTCCACTTACACCTGACTTTAATACTGAAATGTTATTAGAATATTAATGAACACAGACTTTCATTTCTTGGTGACGTAGTCTTAAAACACCTGGTGTCATCATTGAATTTCACTGATCTATTTATATACGTATTTTTACCGCTATTTTACCTTACGCCATCTGTAATCGGTTTCGGTGAATAATCAAGATTGGTTTTTCTCTGGCGCTGATAAAATATGTGAGGAGTTGATGAACACCTTTCCTGGTATCTTGCCAATTTTGACTGAAAAACTGTGTAGCCATTGAATGTTTAAATATACAGTTTATGTATTCAAACTTTGATTGCCTTCTCATATTTGTTTTCGACATTGTACATAAATGTTATACGTATTCTTCAAATTATTCAAATAGCCCTGAGACAGATTTGCCGTGATTCTTGAATGCAGTCACGTCATGAATGAATGTATGACGTTATTTGATCCCTTGACAACCGATCCGCCTGGTTACCCGGATGCAGAAACATTATCGCTTAATAATCAAAAGGAATACATAATGACTTCAGTAATTAGATAGGCAGGAGGAATACCGCTTCTGTAGAATATCGGATGAACATGTGATATAACCAATTTCGATTTACAATCGATTTCCGGGATTCTTGTTAAACTGTTATTCGCGCACAGTGAGTTTGTCGCACTCACTCACACTGGTTGTACAAGGTCCTGTTAATTCCACTTTCCATGAGGCGTTACAATGTTATATGTTTTACTATAGGAAACGAACTATGACAACAGTGCAGATTTGACAGAATACTGTGTACAGAATATAGATGCAGTTGTTACCGCTCGTGAACCTGGCTGGTCAAACCTACGTCGAAGGATGTGTCCGTTTTCATGATATGAACCATTTGTTTCACACGTTAAGACACGATTAATCTCATCAACATTCGTTAGCTATATCAGAAAACTTTCTGGAGCATACAACAATCGTTTCGCACATTTTCCTTTTGCTCATTATGAATTTTGTAGGCAACATTCAGTATAAGAACGGGTCGGAACACAAATAGAGGGCTTCAAACATTGTACCCACATAGGGAATCGAAACTAGGAGTACATCGCTTGAACAAATATCTACCACTGTTCATTGTGAGAGTAGAGAACTACTGAAGAAAATTGGTTCTGAATTTTGTGTCACATTTCAGGCTGTAACAAATTGTGTTAATTCTAATCGTAATGGCTTACAACACACACACGCTGAGTCATTCATCATTTAGATTCTAAGGCTCTTTGAAATAAATGAGTCAAAATCCATTGCATAATTATATGAAAACTCTGCTTAAGTTTTATGTATTTATGAATCACTGCCAAATATTGATCCGTTTTTTCTTACATCCATATGTGGTAGTGATTCATTAGACTAGCAACTAGTCTCTGAAATGAACATATTTTACTGAAAAAAAGTTCATAGTAAAAAAAAAAAAAATAATGAAAAGGAACCCTGAGACTTTCTTCATTTTCAGCCTGAAGCTGAGGAAATCTAGACTTGCCACATTTTCTAGACTTGCGTGGGCTTTCTTGGATATATTTACTTCAGGGTCTGTACGACAGACTAGTGATTCATAAACACATATACTTTCAGCATTTTTCATGTAATTATGGAATGGACGGTAAGTATGAAATATCCTCCACATGTCTGCCATAAACTGTTTTGAAAACTTTACTAAGGCCTTGATCAACGAGCTTCTGATCAAACAGCTTCTGATCAAACAGCTTCTGAACAGGAACCTCATGACGCTTCTTGTAGACAGTGCATTGTACCTCAAAGTTAAACGCGGACAACAACAATGTTCAATCGTAGTAATATTAAAACGGTCAATTTAAAGTATGCCTATTATTCGTTTATTGTCCTGGTATAGATTATTATGGATATTATTTTCATCATTATGATTACTGCGCAATTGTCTCCTGTGTGGGTTAAGATGCAGATGCAGAGGCGGATGCCAGCTAATCCTGCTACATTATGCAAAACCTCCCGTGATGTGCAATCGTGCTGATTTTATGGATATAACGTGGATGATTTATTGCGAAGACCAACCACGTCAATCAGATTGATTGCTACAATGTGACAATATGCAGATTTACCGAACATACCCACACTACCGCCACTGAGAATAATCACTGAACGTAATTCAACACCTTGACAATATTTCTGTTTTTACCCCCTTTTTTGTTCAAAAATACATATCTATATACAAAAATCGATAAAGATAAATATGTTAAAGATACATATCTGTATTTATAATGACACATCAGAGTCACGATACCGACATACAGGTACACCTTCACTCAATACAACTGACAAATCATTTTACATATCGACACGAATCCTTTACCAAGAGCAGAGTCGATGGTCGGTTTACGATTTCGACGATTTTGATTAGTGGATTGCAGAGGAAATGAGGCGAGGTGAGGAAAAACAGTGTTTAAAGAAGCGTTCGATATGTTTGTATTTATGCAGCAACCTCTTAGCCCATGTGTTTGTGGCCATAAATACTAGTCTGGACCATAGCTAGTTGTATTGTATTGTATTGTGCCAGCCTTATCTCGGAAGACGCTTTATCAGTCAGAACATAGGAGTTGTGCTTGTATTGTAACATTCGCTTAAGATTACAACAATCCCAGTGATTATGGTATTTTTCATTTTTATATGCTCAAAACAAAGTTTGCAATGAAACATTCTGCATTCATCGGAACACTGGAGTTGGAAATCAAGGATTTGCCGAATATGGAACATTGTATATGGCGTTTGTGGCTGCCATTTTCCATTCTACTGATGGTTAAGTACCAAAAGCGACGCAAGGCATGCTCATTCGCAAAGCTTTAACCGGCATATTTATTAACCACATTACAAAATAGTGAAACGTTTTAGCGATTACGATTGAGCTCAGATTTAAATCAATCAATTACGCCACAGTGTAATCATGCGTAGCATTCCAATCCGTAAGCGGCAATGACGCTTTTGCAATATAAAGGCGATATCTAATGTTATATTAATTTGTACAAATACTCTGAGTTAACAATGAAATTTTATGCATACTGGGTTTATCACTCTGTGAATCATTCAAACGTGTCATGATCCAGCTAATGGAGAATGTGTATGCATTTACAAATACATCATGTACAAATTAGACAAATGTATCACATGTAATAATGAAACGACTAGTTCACATGTACCGATTTAAAAAATGTATTACGCGTAGAACTTCACAAATGTATCACATGTAATAATGAAACGACCAGATCACATGTACCGATTTAAAAAATGTATTACG